TAGGGTTCATGGATTTTAGGGTTTTGGGCCTTAGGCTTTTAGGGTTCAGGGCCTTAGGGTTTAGGGTTTAGGGTTTAGAGTTTAGGGTTTAGGGTTTAGGGTTTAGGGTTTAGGGTTTAGGGTTTAGGGTTTAGGGTTTAGAGTTATAGGGGTTTTGGTGTTTCTCGTTCAGGTTCTAGGCTCTGGGGTTTAGGGTTTAGGGCTTAGGATAAGGGTTTTGGATCTTGGGCCCTAAACCCTAAACCCTAAACCGGTTTAGGCTGGAGGGAGAAGGGACGCATATCCGCGACAGCGCTCAGACATGTCCTGATGGGTCAGCACGTCGACGCAGACATGCTCCTCGCTCCCGTGGGTTTTCGGATTTAGGGGTTTAGGGCTTGAGGGCTTGAGGGTTTAGGGTTTTAGGGGTCTGATTCACGATCGCACGTGGCGAGTCATCTACCAGTGGCGTACTCTGAACAGGCTGGAGCTGTGCAACAAACCCTTAAACCACAGGCACCCGAGACAACATCAGTACGCGGTTAAACCGTACCAGCCACTTGCCGCACTCGGCTAGCTCCTTGAAGAGCTCGGGAACATCGTGGCGAAAGTCCTGCACTGCAGTTCGGGGGGTCCTTGTTGGGGCTCTAGGATTTCGGCCTTTGTGTCTCTCAAGCTCAGTTTCCAAACCTTGGTTTTGGGGTTCTGAGCCTTAGAGGACTTCATCGAAGAGTCGAGTCAGGCCATTGTTGCACAAGTATGTTTTTCTTGCCAGATTTTACTTGTTCTACGCATAGGCCCCATAGTAGTTCCTTGTTGTGATTACTTTATAGGATTCTAAATATGAACACCAAAAAGGAACTACTATGGGGCCTATGGATAGCTTGAACTGGACTTTAAAAATGCCATGGCTTCAGGGAGTGCGAAGCTTTGCGTTTAGCCGGTTTGCGGCTTTGGGGCGACCGGGTTTTGCAACCGACCATCCTGCTGGGAGCCCAAAGACTCCAATATCCCTAGATTAAGGAATACACCTTAAATTATAGTAGGATTCCTAATATGATTTAAGGTATATTCCTTCACTAAGGGATATTGGAGTCTCTGGGAATCGACGTCCCTCTACACCGAGATGATCCCAGGGATGAGTTTCAACCAAACGGCGAAGCCTCAACTAGGGAAGAGCATCCACAACCCTAAGCCAAGCCCGACCCCCCATACAACTTTTTGTAATCCATGAACTCCTATATTCAACCTCTATAGAAGTCGCTTCTAGATCTTCATAAAACCACCGGTGCACCTAATAGTCCAACGAAAAACCCCGCGAAGCCTGTCTCAAACCCCTGTAAAACCCTTACAAAACACCTGGCACCCTGCTAAAATGTCCATAAACGCCAAAACCGCACTGTCCTCAAGCCTTTTCGATCAGCCTATGGCACCCCTTGTGGCAACTATTCTAGCAGCCCCTTATACTATACTAGCAACCCCTTAGCACAAAATGAAATCTTTATAATGTACTAGCGACCCCTCAGAGCATTATGGACCCTAAACCCACAACAGAGCATTATGGACCCTAAACCCACAAGGCCTAAACCCTAAACCCCAGAAAGCACCCATGGGTGCAACCGTTACGGCATCATAAAAATCCTTGTAACATCTCCCTGGCAACCCCTCATAACATTAAGGACTGTCCAGGAAAAAAGGCCCAAGGGATCAAAGCTTACAGGGGTAGCTATACGGGATCCTACTGTACGTAAAATAAAACATAATACTATATATAGGACCCTTCATATATATATATATATATGTATACATATGTATATATATATATATATACATATATATATATATAAGGATCACCTTCAGGTCTGCCCAGGAGAGGAGGAGTTTCGCCAACTCGAAATCGGTGATCGACAGCTCGGGCCGGGCCAGGACCTGCTGCAGTGGCTGTAGGGTGCAAGAGGGTTAAGGGCTCTAGTAGGGGTTAGAGTTTAGGGTCTAGGGTTTAGAGTTTAGGGCTGAGGCTTTAGGGTTAAGGGCTTACGGTTTAGGGCTTAGGGTTTAGAGTTTGGGGCTTAGGGTTTAGGGTGGAGGAGTTTAGCCGTTTAGGGTTGAAGTGTTCGGGGTTGAGGGGTTCAGGGGTTTCGGGGGTTGAGGGTTGAGGGGTTTGGAGTTGAGGGCTTTAGGGCTGCAAGAAATGCTTCAATCAAGAGTTTCTGTTTTGCGGAGCTTAAACTCTTACGGGGTTCGTTTATTGAATGCTTTGTTTATGCAGGGGTTCTGAGTAAGGGTTCGGCGGAGTTTTGTTGGTATATGTCTGCCTGAGGGTGAACATTCATAACGGATGCCATGGTTCTATACTTACCTGGTGGTTCGGTGCCCCTAAACCCTAAACCCTAAACCCTAAACCCTAAACCCTAAACCCTAAACCCTAAACCCTAAACCCATGATGAGCTTGTAAAGGGCGTGCCGCATTCCAAGGGGTTTTTGGAGATTAGGGGCTTTCATGGGTTTAGGGCGTTTCGGGCTTTTTTTTGGGTTTAGGGTTTAGGGTTTAGGGTTTAGGGTTGAGGGTTGAGGGTTTAGGGTTGAAGGTTTAGGGCTTCTTTTTTTTTTGGGGGGGGGGTTCGGGCATAGTGCCCTCAGGACTGCTAGGGCCGTACCCTTTAGGGGGTTCCTGTGAGGCTTCCCAAGGCTTATGGACCGGGGGCCTTGCGGGGGCTGTAAGGCTTCATCGCTGGTAGTGTTGAAGGTCAGGGTTTAGGGTTTAGGGTTTAGGGTTTTAGGGTTTTAGGGTTTAGGGTTTATGGTTTAGGGTTTAGGGTTGAGGGTTTAGTTGCTTGGTGTTGAAGGCTCAGGGATCGAAAGTTGCTTGGGGCTTTGAGAGCTTTCGGGGTTCAGGGTTTAGGGTTGAGAGCTGTGGGATGCCGGGCTTATTATTGTTACTACTACTACTACTACTACTACTACTACTACTACTGCTACTACTAAGGCTTGAGAGCTGTGGAATGTCGGGCTTCGGAACCGGAGTGTTGAAATGGTTGGGTCAACGCCAACGCCGCAACAGCTCCCAACGGGCCAGGGGTCCCAAGATCTTGGCGCCCCGAGCCATAATGCAGGGCCTATAATTAGACTAGGGTTTTGGGGGTCTATTACACTATAATCATGCTCTTCCGTCGCCTTCTTTTTCCTCGGCTGCGCTACGAGTGCTTCGGCGGGGAAGGCAGCATGTGTTTTGCCGCCCTCCTTGGAAAGGCAGGCTCCTTAAAGAGCTGCATCCTCCTCCCTGGGTGGGGGGGAGGGACCCGAAAACTACAAAGATTTGCTCAGAAAGCATGAGAAGGTCATGCTCTTCCGTCGCCTTCTTTTTCCTCGGCTGCGCTACGAGTGCTTCGGCGGGGAAGGCAGCATGTGTTTTGCCGCCCTCCTTGGAAAGGCAGGCTCCTTAAAGAGCTGCATCCTCCACTCCACTTGCGGCCGCGTAGCGCGCTGCTCTCCTTTGTATGGCCCGTTTCTCCACAGCGTGGTAAAAGAAGCCTCCAATGCGGATCCGGTCGCGGGCTTTGGAGGACAAACTCGGCAGTAGAGAAAAACCGGTCATCTCCTGTAGGTAGTGCTCGAGGGTGACCTGAGATTTTAATCTCATCCTCCACATCAGGTCGGAGACCGGGATGCCGCGCTGAAAGGCGGCTATGGCGCCACCTGCCCGAAGCGAAGCTGGGGTAATGCCAGCTGTGGCCGGCACCCCCAGGATGCGGAGCAGCCTGTCCCAGCGTCTCCGGTAGGCCGAAGGACTACCTGGGTAAAGGGCTGCCGAGCTAGGCAACTTTTCCCAGGCCGCCAGAACGTATTCCATGGCTGTCACATCGTCAAGCTTCACGTGTTGCACCCTAGCTGCCCTCCGGCGGCTCTTTGGGGCGGTAATCTCAGATACAACCAGCGGTGGAAAGGTTCCAGAGCATCCTCGGGAGTCAGAAGTTTTCCTCGTGTAGCCCGAAGCACTTCTCCAGGCCGAGACACGAAGAAGAAAATCGCCAGAGTCGCTGCCGTCCATCGCTCCCAGCCCAACGCGTGGCTAAGACCGATTAGGGCTCGGAGCAGGGCCTCTGGTACCGGCGTCCTATGCGACACCGGTTGCAGTTCTTCCCAGCGCGAAACCATGTTCCAAGCCACTGACATGTGAGGGCGCAGCAAAGGGAAAATCTTCTGGGCGTGAGCTAGCAGCTGCCTGTAAGATCCCAGAGGGAACCCTGTTTGGTAAAGAACGTCACCGTAGTCCCGCATCACCAGCGCGAGCAGCGGAGGGCAGCGGAACAAAGCTAACACAGCTAGCTCCGTTACGTTCTCCCGAAGCCATGCTAAGAAAACTTTCCAGATCTGTTCCCGCACTCGGAGGGTAGCCTGCTCGATGAGCTCGACGTCGAACAGGGAACCGGTCCTGGGGACACGCGGCTTCTGCCTTGGCCCTGGCACTTTCGCCTCTCCCACTCGCAGCGTTCCTGTGAAAGCGGCCTCGGCCGGACCACCGTCACGCGTAGCCACCTTGTGTAGCAAACTGCGCACCAGAACCTCGGCAGCGCGTTTCGGAAAGCTGTCCGCTGCCTTGGTGCCGTCACCCTGTCCTGGGCCCAAGCGGCCGCGAAGGTGCAAATGCCTGTGCCCGCCGCGGCAATGGTCATGTCGCCCAGCCAGGTCCGAAGTGGTAAGCACTCGGGTGCGCTTTTGCCATGGCTCAGAAAAACGGCAGCGGTCAAAACTCCAGAAGTCCAGGGCCGGGCTGCAGAGAAGGAGGCGACGAAGCGGTGGGTAAGACCAAAGCAGGGAAGTGTCAGGTCCGTCAATCCAGAAAGGGATGCCCAAATCGAGGCAGGCTGAAGCGACAGAGCAGGTGAAGTCGATGAGCCGGTTCTCGCTCGCCACCTTCGCTGAGTCCAGAGGGCCCAGCTGTTGCAAACCCGAAGGCTCTTCTCTCGTCCGAAGTTTCGGGGCACGGGCCCGTCAAAACGTCGCACCTGGGGGAGAGACACCCACAGCACTGAAAGCCCCGAGCCGCAGCATGTCGAGGATGGAGTCTTGCAGAGCTTTGTCACTTAAGTCTTGAGAGGGCCCATCCTTCCAGTCAAAGGTCAGGGCTGGGCTGGAGCTCTGTCCCGCCCAGGCACGCGCAACGGTACGAGAGCCAGCAAACAGACAAAGGTAGACCGGCTCGGCAGGTCGGCGAGAGGAAGGTGGCCTGCGACCACCGGGCCAGAGGAACTGGCCGGCTGAGCACCGTGAGAAGAAAGCAGAGGCGGCTTTAGGGAAACTCGGCTGAAAGCAGGGAGCGGAAGGAGCAGGGGCCTCCCTTTCGCCGACGCTCCTTGCAGAAATATAGTCCTGAGAGGCAGGGGCATCGTAGTGGTCATCGCTTTCCGGAGCCTCGGAGGTCACTCGACGAGGCCCTTGGTAGGGCAGAGGCACCCCGCATCGAGAACGAAAGTCGCAAAGGAGCTGAGGGAGGCCTTGCATCTGCTCTGGGAGCAGGTCGAGGTCGGAGAGGAAAAGATCGAAGGGGGCGAAGTCGCCTGACATGCCGGCCTGAAACCACCTGGGCAAAGGCAAGTTGGGCTTTCGCACTTCTTTGTAGCGGCTGGGGTCGTCGCTAGGGTTGTCCTCTGAGGCAACAAAAGAAAAGGAAGGATGGATATTGAAAAAGAGATATCCCGGGAGAGAAGCCTGGAGGCATCGGTTCAGGGCACTGGAGCTTGAGCGGCCCTTTAGAAGAGCACCCAGCACAACCTGAGAGTCCAAAAGGCCTATGCATCGCGAGCTTTCCCAGGGGCCCGCAGAGAGCCGCTCTTCCACTATGAGGTAGCTCTCGGCCTCCTTGATGTTGATATGGAGACCCGCCTTCCGAGGAAAGGCTGCAAAGAGCTTGAACGGCAAGGAGCGGCAAAGTAACGTCCACAGGGCGTGCGTCCGGTACGTGTCACCCGGCAGCTCGTCTTCCTGGTCCAGGCAACCCGCTCGACGCTGCATGGCTTCGCTAGGGCGAAGGAGCCGGTTCCAAAGCCCTTTTGCGAGGACATGGCGTTGAAGCTCTTTCCCCCAAGCCGGGCCCACACGGGCGGTTGCCCCAGCCCCGCAGTCATCTGACGAGTCAGTGGCGACGAGGAGCTCGCTGGACTGGGCCCGCATGTCACAGACCAAGAAGGGGGCGACCAGGCAGAGTCGCAGCAACTCGGAACGGAGCTCGGGAGGAACTCGAACAACAGAGGCTCGGGAGCGGCCCCTTTGCAGAAAGTAAACCCAGTTCAGAAGCGAGAGGCAGCGCCGCCGATAGGACAGCACGGACACCCAGGACCCTGCCAAAACCTCAAGGAGGCTAACCGTGAGCACCGGGAGCCGGATGCAAGCTATGGTCAAACCGACGAGGGGAATCAAGCGGTGCCAGGCCGGGCGAACGATGCCTTGCAAGCCATCGACATCGGAACCCCAAAAAGACGCCTTGTGCTGCTTAAGGAAAGTCTTGCCCTCGTGCACAGGAAGAGGGGCAGCGGCGTAAGCTGCAAAGGCGCGATCCATGACGGCGTCGGTCCGGGCAGGGCCTGACTGGAGGAGGGCCTTTTCCAGGACGACCAGGTCATCGATGACAACCCCGAGGCTAAGGTCCCCCCGGGTCGGGCGACCACGAAGGGTCATCAGTTCTTCAAAGGAAGCCACCTCGTGCGCCAGCAGCAGGCCCAGGTGGCTGCATTGGCCAAAGCTAACGGAGTTCAGGTCTCCCATTGCCATGGTAGCCAAAGCGGCGCTCAGTTGCCTGCACTTCAAAAACTCGGGGCGGAAACACTTTAGAGCGGTCAGGTCCTTAGGGGCAAAGGTCCCGGCAAAACGATAGAACATCGCCCGCCCCGAAGTTATCAGGAAGTTGTGGTAAAAGTCACGCAGGTCGGTGCCCGAGGCCCACAAAGCCTCATCGTCCCGAAGTTCAAAGCACAACAGGGCCGCTGACGTGGGCATCAGGGCTAGCCATCGGTTATCGGCCACCTGGACCATGTTGCCCGGACGGGCGTCAACTATCAGCCTGTCCCTGTCCAAGGTTTTGGGCACGGCAAATAGCCCGCAACAGCCTTGCAACGAGACACCGTCGGCCGGGAAAAGGACCAGCCGGTCCGAAGCATCAAGCAGTGCGAGGAGTTCAAGGCGGGACTGCTTATCTCGGGCCCTAAACCTTACCTTAGGGGGGTCGAAAGGGAGCTCGGCAAAAGGGATTGCAGAAGAGGCCGGGTCGACGTACAAGGCCCGAAGGCGGTCATCCAAGAAAGGGCAAGGGTCGAACCGAGGAGGGACCGGGAAGTTCAAACGGCCGGCCTCCACGTCCTTTGCCGGAGCTAGGTTCGGCATCGCGGCGGTGGCGCGCTCAGAGGCCGTCTTGAGCATCTCAAGTTGCTCCTCGATCTTCTCCACCTTTCCCGCCGCTCGGCCCATATCCTCCAAGCCGACCGGAGGGTGGTTTGTCCAAGCGTTCAGCCTGTCAGCTATGCGGCCCCAGCTCCGGCTCAAGCAAGCTGAGGAAAGACGGCAGCCTCGGAGGGAGAACGGCGTACAGGCAGGTCCCTGGCTGACCCGGTGCAAGGGCAAGCGAAGAAAGTTATCCAACAGCCGGGCGGTCAGAAGCACGGCGGCCGGATCACAAGAAGCCACGGCAGCAGCCGCAGCGTCACACGAAGTCAAAGATGAAGAAAAGAAAGCCCCGTCCACAAAGGGGGGGGGCGCGCAGCCGGTAGGATGGCAAAAAGACACAGTCCCGTCAGCCAGGAGCTCTGTCAAGGAATTCGCGAAAGAGCATGCATTGAAACACAACGCCGTCGTCTCAGGCAGAGGCATCGCTCGGCCCGGGACGCCGGCAAAGCTGGCAGGTAACCACTACTTCCCCTGGCCCCCGGAAGGGCCTGGCTTCTCAGGAGCCGCGGGCGCACCCAAAGCTCCTTTACCTCCTCGACCTCTGTTTTTGCCGCCGGGCTCTGGCGGTGTGTCTTCACCTGTGCCTCGGCCTCCTGAGTCGCCGCCGCGGCCGCGGCCAAGCTTGCGCTTTGCATCGAGGAAACTTTCAAGCTCTTTGACACGGTGCAAAAGAAGGTCGGACCAACGGCCGCTGAGGAGCCGGGTGTGGTACGACTCCAAAGGGTCAGAGAGCGTCTTGCGGCCCTGGAAGGAACCCAGCGGCGGCGGGCTCTCAAGCAGGATTTCTTGAGCATAGGCCCAGGACCCAGCATCTATGCACGCCTGGTCGAGGGCGGCCAGCGCCAAGCAAGTGCGGGCACGAGCCTCGGAGACCTTGTCATCTCTCAAAGCGTCAAGGATGCCGGCCAGGCACCACATGGTGCGGATTGTGGTGGGGTAATATCCCACCCGACTGCGAAACTCTACCCAAGCCCGGGCTGAACTCTGCGCCGAGCTGAGCGATCCAATGGCCCGCCTCGAGAGGAGGTCTTCGTCCAGCAGCTTTTCTATTTCTTGGTAGATAAGCTCCGGGGCCTTGTCCAAGCTATCCTTCAGCAGGCGGTACGCGGCACCTTTTGACCTCCCGGAAGAGGAGGAGCTAAGAGGCTCCCCAAGCGAGGCACCCTCGGCGACATCAAGGGCAGCCTCCAGATTCGCCGCGCGGTCAGAAGGGCGGCGCTTCTCGGAAACCAGCTGCTTCATCAGACCCGCCAGCATAAC